GTGTGTGTGTGTGTGTGTGTGTGTGTGTGTGTGTGTGTGTGTGTGTGTGTGTTTTCCTCTCCACTATTTCAGCATTTTCCCATTTCCCTTCCTCTTCTTTGTGCGAATGTGAGAGAATGTGGCTTTACTTAAGCTGTGGAAAATTGAAAACCTGTCCTTCCCGAGACAGTGCCTCTGTGTCTTCCTTTGTATTCATTCATAAAAAAGAAAGGCAGCTCATGCCACTGTGGTCACCCCCTTGCCTGTTGGGAAAGTTGGGAGGAAGAGGTGTGAGTGGATCCAGGCTCACGGCTGGGAGATGCTTCCAGGAGGCGTCCTTCTCACGGAGAACAAGTGTTGAGTGCATGTTGGAGTGAGCCGAAGTGAACTCAAGGCTCCTCTTCTTGCCCATTCCCTCGCCATCTGTTTGGAGGCAGTGGGCACTGCCGTGAACCCTCCTACTCCATAGACCTTTCCAGGCCTGCACGTGGCCTTAAGTGACCCTCATTTAGAAAGGTCAGTTTCCTGTTCCTCCCTCTCTTCCTGCACCTTGAATTTTCTCTTATCTTCTTTTTATTTTTTTTTTTTTATTTTTGGGAAAGAAGCTAAAAGAGAAAAGGTTATCCCTCATCCTCTGTCTATACTGGAAACCAGGTTACGGGGGGTGAGAGCCTGTCAGTGTTGGGGTGCTGGGGACTGCATGGGCAGGAGCCTGTTAACACAGCTATTCCATGGCTCCTTCACTCAGAGTCTGCGTCTTCCACTCCTAGAGCTTGGAACCCAGGTTATCTGTGAGGAAAATGAACATCCGTCTCCCTCCTAGACTTCCTCCTTCTTCTCTTCCCCTCTTCTGCTGCGAAGACTCGCGTAGTTGCATGGTTTCCCTGGCCTTTTATTATTTTATATTTGACAAGGTATTACTCTAACTGGCCTTGAACTTGGTATGTAGACCAGGCTGGCCTTGAACTCACTAGAGATCCACTTGCCTTTACATTTGAGTGCTGGAATTAAAGACAAGACCAACCAGCCCTAGGCCACATTCTTGACTACTACCAGTGTGGGGCTGAGATGGGATGGTGTGTGTGTATAAGGAAGGAAGCCATTTCCCAGCCAGCCTCCTGGCTTCTGCACTGATCTGGCAGGTGGAAGGGGTAAGGGGAAGGAACAGGGCTTCCTATCCCCAGCTAATGAGATCATTTGCCCAGGAATATGAGTGAATTCATAGTACATTGCATGTTGCCAAGGCCATTTCTGGCCAGGCTGAGGCTGAGTCTCCTTAGCGGATACCTGATACATGACTGAGAACATATTCTTTGCAATTCAGGCACAGACTTTAGACAGTAACTATGAATGTTCAGGATTTCTTGCTGGAATGGCTAGAATTTCAGGGCACCTTTCTGGAGGAAATTTGGGTGTTGGTAAGGCCAGGGCCACTCAGGGCCTCAGTTCTTGTTCCTTCCTGAGCCATTCTGTGTGATTGAAAATGTCCTGTGATGGGTGTTGATTCTGTGACATTACCTTCTCCATGTTCTTCCCTCCCAACATACCCAATGAGCCACAGTATAAGAAACCAGGCCAGGGGTTAGGGGCTGGAGAGATGGTCCCGTGGTTAAGAATACTTGCTCTTCCAGAGGACCTGCATTCTGTTTCTAGCACCCACAACACATCACAACCATCTGAAACTCCAGTTCCAGAGAATCTGACCACCCCTCTGACCGCTGCAGGCACAGACATGTAGGCAAGACACTCATACACATAAAAATAGATAAATCTCTAAGAATAAAAGCTGTGTTGAAGAGCTGGGTAGGGATGAGCTGGTAGTGCCAGTTTTTGTGGCCAAACTCGAGCTGGCAGGAGGTTTTGCATCTAGGTGCCGCTGCCACCCCGGCCCACACAGGTCCTTGTGCCCCAGAAGATTCAAGAGCTGACACAGTGATAAGGAATAGAGGATATGTATGGTGGCTCTAGAATTTGGGTCTGAAAGGCTGCCACAAGCCACCTAGCTGCCTTGAAGGAATGTCACCACGTGTCTGTCAGCATTCAGCCGAGGAAACTGAGGCAGGTCTGAAGCAGAAAGCCCTGTAATGGAGAGGAGGATGTCCAGAAAGGGTGTTCCAGAGCGGGTGATGTGGCAGGGACAGCAGGGATCGGGGTTGGGAGAGTCTGCCCTGTAGAGTGCTGGAGCCCAGCAGGGCCTAGCAGCCTTGCTGACTACCTGCAAAGCCCAGGAATGCTCTGACGTGAGGCTACCATGGGTGAGCCCTCAAACCTTGGTTTCAGTCCTAGCAAAGAAAACAGAATTCAAAACTATAAAGAATTCTTTACCTGTTGATAGGCACCCACCTCCTGCACCCATCACAGGACCCGCAGTCCTTGACTCGGGCTAGGCTTGAATCATATATTGTCCCCGTTGTCCACCAGTATTGAATATCACAGTCTGTCCTCGTGAACATTCTGTGTCCATCTCTTGAAAAGCTGAGCCAAATGCTATTGTTATTACCCCTGAGATTTCAAAAAGTCAGCGATCTTTTTTTTTTTTTTTTTTTTTTTTTTTGAGACAGGGTCTCACTATGTATCTCTGACTATCCTGGAACTTGCTCTGTAGACCAGGCTAGCCTTGAACTCACAGAGATCCACCTGCCTCTGCCTACCTAGTGCTGGGATTAAATGCATACTCTATGGCATGTGGCTCAGCTGTCCTTTGTACTGTGAGATACCTAGCTGATATCCCCATTTCCCTAATTATCGACTTGCTTTTGTTTATCGTTCATCTAAATCAGAACCCAAATGAGACTGTTCATATACCACCATGACTGATCCATCTCTGTTTAGTAGTGGTGGTCCCTGCCATGACATCCCTGTCCTTCTCCTGGTCTTCACGACTTTTCTCTCAGTTTTTATTGAGGGAAGTGGGCCGTTCCTCCAGTGTGATTTGCCATGGGACCTCTCCAGGCCTCACACTGTGGTTCAGTGTGCCCATCAGGCCCTGGGGTAGACAGGCTCAGCCTTATTTGTCATAGGAGATTAGCTAGTAACCCAGGCTTCACCTAAAGAACCTTTTCAAGCCTGAGACGTTCTGGTTGACTCTGCTCTTCACAGGAATTGGAGTTAGCAGTTCGAGCTGGCTTTGAGGTCTGAGCAAGGACTTACTGTGTTCTTCACTGGTGTGACTATTTATTGCCTGTTCCTGTCTGCCTAGTGCCAGAGAAGACCCCTAAACCTTTTCTGGGCTCCCAACCCTTCTGGCGAGTCTGGTATACGTGGGAAAGCCTGCCAGAGCACAGCTCCCTTCGAGATCCACCCTGAACATGGGCCGTGTGTCACCCACTTGTCTGTGTCTTTGAGGCAGCACCATCTGGTATCAGGGTTGGCAGAGACCACAGGGTCTAGGAACACAATTAGTGACATTAGCAAGATCTGTGGGTTGTTTTGTGATGCAATGTCTTCTAAGCAGGGCCACCATTGCTTTCGTGATTATGTCTCATTTCCTCTGGCTCACAGGCTAGAACCAACTTAGGCACAGGTGTACACATCCATGATGGCCGCCACCACAGTGACCGCTGTTAGGGTGTGCTGAGCCCAGCGTGGCTCCCTGCCTCCTTCACCTGTTGTCCTGGGATTGTCCAGGTGGAAGCAGGTTGTTCTGTTCATGGCAGTTCCCACCTGAATAAAGCCTCCAAACATCCTTTCCTCCCTCTTTCCAAAGTGACCTTGGAAAGTCTCCAGCCCCGCCAGAGCCCCAGTGCGTTTGCGTTTGCGGTCTTCAGGGCGGTCCAGCTACGGAATAGGAAGGTCCTGGAGCAAAATGGCAGGCGGCTCCTGTCCAGTTATTAGGAACTGTAACATTGTAACAGCAGCAGAGGCAGTGAACCAGGAGCCAGGCCAGCAGCACCATGCACTTGTGAAGCCAGCCCGTGTGCTCCAGATCTTCTACTGTTGAGCCTTGGGGGCCCTGGCTGTGGACAGATTAGTCTGACCCCTCCTCAGGCACGGGGGCCCCTTGACCAC